GAGAGAGAGAAAGAGAGAGAGAGAGAGAGAGAGAGAAACAACGTGAAGTGAAGGCTTGAAGACTTATTTTTGATGTCAAATAAGTAATGTTAATTAACATTTTGTAAAAGAAAAATAGAAGAAAGTGAGCGATTATAAGTAACAAAATTTTTTCATTCAAATAATAAAAAGAAAAAGAAAAAGAAAATGCACCATTATAAAAATATCTTGTTGGATCTTTAATGGCATGTAATTTGTGGACGACATTAATTCACTGCAAAAATTAGGAATGGAAATGAATCGTAGCAACGAACCGAAAAACAACATTTTCTCATTTGTTTCTTTGAACGATCAATTTCTATTCTTATTTCTTCTCAGAGCTGCGCTATTTTTTTAACCTTTGCAAAATTTCGTCTAGTTTTTGAATAATTGAAAAAATGATTACTTTTCATCCAGGAATTTATTTCTAAATTTACAATCATCAACTATTTATTGTTGTAGGAGAGAATAGGTATTAAACATATCTTGACAATTCTATATCGGAGTTCAGTTTATTATTGTATTCCAATAGAACATATAATAGCAGCAAATTTACGAAAATTTCATTTTTTAATTTTTGATAAACAAATTCTTTATTTATAAAGAAAATATGTATATCTATGTAAGCAGGAAAAAAAAGGAAAATTTCACCAATAAAAAATATTTTCGTGCACTGCAAAATGGAAGAAATGGACAGAAGTTTTTACATTGATAAAATCAACTTTCAATAAGTTATTCTTATTCTCGGAAAAGAAGAAAAACTCGAAATATGAACATCATATATAAAGTTTTTTTCGCAATTGAAGGAAATTTTAGTTAACTTCTTATTGTATATGTCATATTTTTCCGGACGAAAGAAAAAGTTCGAGAGTTTTTCGAAAATTTATACGAATAAAACTTAATTCAGGTTAGCAAATAAAAAATAAAGCCATGTGAAGTATTTGTTCATCTTTTTAAAAAATATCATTAGATATTGTATCATTTTGAACGTTTACAATGTCAAAAGGCCATTAGCATTAACCATTAACCATGAAGAGGTTGACAAGTACCACTTCCTTTTGTCATATGATTAATTGATCAGTATTCTTGAATGGGAAAGAAAGAAAGGAAGAAACAGATGCGCTGTCAGTGAAGCGTATAAGCTTCTTCAGTTAACATCAGCGAGAAAGCCTATTTTCTTCCACTCTTTCAAATCTAAATTGTTTATCCTTACCGACGTTTTCAGACTTGTTTTTCTTATCTCATATGCGTATGTCACGTCGTAACTCTATTCTATGCTACCAGCTTATTTCTTTCGCAGTAACCTTGATTGAGATCAGGTGATAATCCCATCCTAATAAAATTTTCTAAAAAAAATCCAGTCCTCGATTTTAATAGGGTTTGCCAAATTTTGTACAATCTCGGTAGGATTCGACGATTGCAGTTTATGTTATTGTGATTGAGTGATAATGGAAATAGTTTTCCTAACGCTCAATATTTTTGTAGTGAAAATGAAGTTATATGTGGATTTCAAATTAAAATATTGAGATATTATGAGCCCTTGGTCCTATGTTGTAATTTCCTTCTATAATCGTTTACCAAGAAAATTAATACAAATTGAAATAATTACTGATAATATAGGTAATATATCAAATTGTATATTTTACTCTGTATTTAATTTCATACATTACTTTTTTTAATCACAGATTATCAATTAATTTAATGATAAATCATCAAATTCTATATCACTGTGTAAGGATATTACGAAATTTGTAAATGATTTTTGAGACAGCGAATTTTGCATGGTTTACCTAGCAAAATTTTGTTTAGAAAGCAAAGTTTAGAAATTTTTGTCTGAATTACATGTTTCATTCAATATTAATTAAATATTTCCATTGCAATGTGATGGAAATGATATCTCACGGAAGGAAAAGTGATAGAATTGAAAAGTAGCAGAATGTGAATTTAAAATGATGAATTGAAGAGAAAGCAATAATAAATAAGATCATTTTATTTGAGATCTGTCATAACATCTCATAGGGCTAATATATTTTATTAAGTATTTGTGATATTCTTATCATTTTGTTTGTTTCTTTTTTCTCAAAAGCTAGAAATATTGAAGAACAATTTAATTTAGAATCATATTTTATCAACCATGATCTGCTTATTCAGTTACAATAAATCAGGATTGAAACATTTCATAATGTTGTAAATTTTTTAGAAAAATAAATTTCCATTAAAAATCGTTCGAGTGGAAGAAATGATGATAATTTATCAAAATTTATCCCGCATTTGTTTTGTTTTTTTTCCTTGAAATGTTGGAAGAAATCATCCCTAAATAATGATTATCACGGAGAGTGTAACTGACTGCATATCTATATTAGGGAAGTTGGAAAATGATGAAAGCAATAGCATCAGCTTGGTTGTGATTGCTTAATCTCGATCATGCTATCAATTTATCTATCTCTATTTTTATTTATCAATTCTAGCATTCATAAGGAAGCAATCAAATCTTTTAGCTTTCATAATCCGTCTTGGGAAAGAGGAAGAGAGAAAGGGAGAGAGAGTGAAAAAAGGGAGAGAGAATTGATACACACCACAATATTTTTCTTTAACTCCCATACTGGCTTCGACCAGTAGAAATTTTAAGTCTTGCAAATATCTAGTTGTAAAATAAAATTTCACAAAAAGCTTTGTTGATTTTTCTTGTTTTACTATTCATTTGCATAAATAAACGATGTCAATTTCAGTACTTTCTTTTTTTGGCATTGAAATATAATATAATTCATCAATTATATTATGATTATATCATATAATATATGTATATATACATTTTAATGCCAAAAAAATATTGCTATATTTCGTCAATTATTTGACATTGCACAATTTTCAATTTATTCGGTTTTGAAAAATTTTCAACAGATTATTGCCTTATAAACTTACTGTAACAATATTTTTTTTATTTGAAAACCATTTTTACATCAATTAATATTTTATCGTATAACATTTAAAAGAAAAATAAATTTGAACGAGTGAAAAATTATTGTTATAGCAAAAAATTCATAAAATTTTATGAAAATTT